CGTGTGAGTGCATGGCGTGTGAGTGCATGGCGTGTGAGTGCATGGCGTGTGAGTGCATGGTGTGTGAGTTTGCCATGTGATGGGTTTGGTGACACATCCTGGGTTGTTACCTGCCTTAAACCCCTAGGTTCTGGACCCCCTGCAACCCTGGGTAGCGCATGTAGTTTCAGAGAATAAAGGGATGGATGCCTTAAAAAAGGAGAGCAGGATGGGGTATGTGAAAGAAAGGCATGGGGTCACAGAGGCATGCCCTGGGGGATTTATAGCTATTTTAAAGAGTCAAGTTTGTCTGGGGCTAGACTTTTTTTTTAAAGGAAAGAAGATTGGTGTCCAGGCTAAAATACTCTGGGCTAGGCTTAAAATACTCTGGGCTAGGCTTAAAATACTCTGGGCTAGGCTTAAAATACTCAGAGCTAGACCTAAAATACTCAGGGCTTTAGCCCCAACTGATCGGACCAAACAGCGCCCATGCTCATTCCAATGTATAAAAGGCAAATAAAACTGGTTGCATGAGCTTATATCAGCACCTAAGCGGTGCTCGGCTCTGCACACACACTCTGCTCTGAGAACAGGAAACCACAACTTCTCTAGTTGGATTCGACTGATGCACAACACACACTGTAAAACCTCCCTTTGAACACTATATTGGGATATTTGAGGGAGTTATACATCCTACCAGCACATTCCAGAGACTGTAATCGCCTCTGGATCTGCTGCCACGCTCCATTCTTCTGCTGAACACTTAGCAGACCAAACAAAAGAATGCTTGAAACTCTTTCCACAGTTACATCTGGTTCATTCAGATGCCTATGGTGATGGAAAAGTTGGACTTCAATAATAAGTTGTCAGTTGGTCAATTGTCAGAAAGAAAATAATTAATTAAGACAGATTTGATGTCCATTCTGTTTCCTGCCAGTAGAGGTCAGTGATTGGTGTTCTGGGTACATTTTGAAGCATATAGTGAAGTGTAATGTGTAACATTGCATATGTTTAGCCTATGTCATTTATTTTATTCAACTCTGTTTAATTATTCTGTTATGGGTTATTTTCTATTAATATATTATTATTATTATTATTAATAATAATTAATTAATTAATTTAAAATTTATCTATTTATCCATTTATTTTATTTCGTTTTGTTTTACAAGCGCTTTCTGGCACTTACCAGCCTGTCACTGTAAATAAGAAACTGTTCTTAATGCTTTGGTAAAATAAAGGTTAATGAATGAATGAAAATGATCATTTCAAAGTATTGCACATTAAATGTGGCTGGTATAAAATCTGGAATATGTATCATTATCAGATCATCTGCGAATAACAGGTAATTCAGCTCACATTTAGTTTCTGAGTCATCATTTGACGCACCATTTTATATAAGTGTGCTTTTATGGATGTATCTCACCTAATAGCCACAGACTCCAGTTTGTGTCTTTTTACAGCTGCTACTTACTAGCTGGTGATGTTGTATGTATATATAATGTTGTATGTTTTCCTACACTGCCCTCTGTTGTTAATTCTGCAAGGAACAGCAGCAGCGTTTCAGTGAATGGAATGTGTTCATACTAGTGAAGTGAGATGTAATGCCACTGGCCCTTTCTGTCAGGAGGAGCACAGCTAGGAGGAGCCCAGCTAGGAGGAGCCCAGCTAGGAGGAGCACAGCTAGGAGGAGCACTGCTAGGAGGAGCCCAGCTAGGAGGAGCACTGCTAGGAGGAGCACAACTAGGAGGAGCCCTGCTAGAAGGAGCACAGCTAGGAGGAGCACAGCTAGGAGGAGCACAACTAGGAGGAGCACAGTTAGGAGGAGCACTGCTTCGGCTTTCTGACAAATTTGGTTCATGTGATATTGTACAAGATGGGCAATTACCTAATTAGATATTAAAGTATTACAGTGTTGTTGTGATTGGTAATACTTGGTATTGTTTGATGAGGAATGGAACAAATTACCCAGGCAATTTTAAATATAGTGTTTATTTTAGTGTACAGAAACCTAAAGTGCAGTAGCCATCTACAAAAGCCTGTGAAAGGTTATTGTATTATTTGATAGACACTAGGTGGTTCTTCTTTTCCTGTCTACATATTTAACAGCGGATCCTGTAAAGAAATGACCTTTCAAAGTCATAAAATACCTGACGGAAATGTATTTGTGGCTCCCCAGAGTTGTAGGTGTGTGTACTTATACCGTGCTGTTGTGTTTACGAAATATTGGACATGTAGATGCTAAATTTTGAAAGTAAATAAACTTGAGGGTGGAGCTTATTTTGGAGTCTCCTTCCTCTTATATATGTACCTACACCAGCTTCTCAGCTTCTATTCACATCTGTGAAACTGATGAGGTCGCCGGGGTCCCAACACTAATTTTTAGAGAGTGTATCAGTCTCCTTACTCCAGTGGCCCTCTTCCTGTGCCTCTCAGCCACCGTGATGGCAGATACCATGGTGAACACCGCAGCACCTGTAATGATGAGGAAGTTCACTGTGTCCACCACGCAGCTGGTTCTGATTCCAGCTCTACCATCCGCTATCTCTGAAGTTTTGGCAGCTCCCTGAGGCTGAGGTTGTAGCAGCCGGATGGAAGGAGTCTCTATATGCTGTGCAGCTTTTGGTACATTCTTTGCTGCTTCCAAGCAGGGCTTGGATCTTCAGGAATGTCTTAAAGACAAGAGAGTTACGGAGTCTCTGGGCCTGACCGAGCACAGCCAAACCATTACAGGATATGAAGACATTGTGGTGACAGTTCCTACGTAGATTGAGGAGCTCCAGGGAATGGCGCCACCATTCCCAGACGTTCTCTGGTTCTTCTGCAATTGTAGCTGGCAAAACATTGTTATGCTCTGAAGGCTCCTACCTGGTTTGACTGGATGATCCTGGTGCTCAGGTTGAGCTTCTGAAGACCATCTAAGTACAGGAAGTTCCTGCTGTGCAGGGCTGTCAGCTGGTTCTCAGCAAGAACAGGTCCCTGAAGAAGCCCAGGAACCTTCAGAAGCTTGCACTTCCTGGATATCCTATTTCAGATCAGGTGGAGCCCCTGCAGGCTTTCCAGAAAGATGAAGAGCCCCCTCTGCTGGACAGTGATGTTGTTGCAATTCAAGAGAAACATGTTTAGTCTGCAGAAGGGTTGGAAAGTTCCTACAGGGAGGCTGACCAGTGACCAGCAGTGGGGAGGTGGGACTACAGGGAGTCAAAGCAGCCGAAAATTCAGAACTCCCTGGGCAGGTCCGGCCTCTTACCCGCAGGCTTCCCTAAAGACAGTAAAAATGGGTCACCACCAAAAGACAAAATGAGAGCTCAAAAGAGGAGATTAACTTTGGGTGTTTGTACTGTGAGAGCTATAAGAGCAGATATGATTAATAGGGGAAAAAAAGAAAAAAAAAAAACTGAGGATATACAGATAAGAATCAAAATGAGGAAAGATGCTCAATTTTAAATGGAAATATAAACATGCAACTATGATATGGACATACAGAGTTTGTGGAAGTAATGATTCTGGTATTTATTTGTTTTAGTTGTTTCCAAACTGGGGCAGTGGTGGCCGAATGGTTAGGGAAGTGATTGTGATTGGCAGAGGCCATGTGGTGTGTCAACAATGACAATTAATCACTTCTCTGCATAGACTGAGGTTTCCACCTTTTCACTGTGAACTGCTCCTCAAAACATGAGGGGAAAGTCACCAAGACCAAGAAAGGCTGCTGTGTCAATGGGAATGAGGAGAAAGGAGAAAAGGAGCTTAACACATGACTGGGACCAGTATGCGAATCTTCATCTAGGGTCTGGTGTCTGCTCTGCAGTCAGGCTTATTGGATACGAAACAACAGGAACCACAGTATAGAAATGGCTGGGACAAATAAGCAAGGGAAAATTGGTCACCTGACTCTTCCTCGGGGCCACACCCCCTCTCCTCCCACAGTATGACTTCCTGTTACTTTGTTTAATGGGGAATTGAGGTCAATGGACACTTTCCTGTGTGTGGGAGGGTCAAGAATGCTGATCGTCCCCCGGAGGGAGAATCAGGCGACTGTCATCGTTTGTGTCGATTTGTGCCAACTGTCCCTTATTCCCAAGACTGCGTATATCGCTGCGATCTGCGTTTGTTTTGACAGGAACCCAGGCCAGAGTCTGTTTATGTGTTTTCCAGATGCCAATGCGCAGATATGGTCATGTGGCCTTTGTTTGTGTGCCCCCCCCCCCCCCCTCAGCTGAAATGTGAGATTTTTCTGCTTTGATTAGCGCTGATGTTCTATCACTCATAACAATAAACCATTTGAAATTCCCTGCATTCCTGATCCACTCAGGATGCCCTAAATAGCCAAGTGCAATTATTCATTTTTCTCACATGCAATCCCAGTGTTTACCATTGTTGTCTATCTCTCGAAAGTAAAGTCCCCTTTGAGCATTTACTTTATATGGCACCATGACTGCTGTGTGAAATTCCCGGCCTGCCCTTCCTCATGAAAATCCCAGTGGCACATTTTTCAACACTCCAGAACACAACGCTGTGTAAAGAATGAGTCGTTCACTGAGAATGGTTCATGTAACGGAACCTCAGGGGTCACACAGGATGTTTGGATTTACACCAGAGCTGATCCTGATCCAGAGAACATCTCCACCCGGAGAAGGGGCCACTTGACAAGTACTAACCCGTCTGCACCACCAGAAAATCGCAGCTCTTCCATTTGGTTACGATGTTCATGTCGTTCTGCACTTTGAAGTTCTCGCTGCAGGGATGGACACTATTTTTATACTTCTTAGTCAAACAGTTCAGAAAGCATATTTGCTGACTTAATTAAACACAACATTTTGATGACTCACTTAGTCTATTATTATTTCTGCTATGAAAGTGTTCCCAAGCCCCCGAGGGAGGAAAAATAGGACCCTCTAAAGGAACCCAGATGAAGGGAAGTGGGGGTGAATTCACAACAGATGTTGGTGCATGTTACAGTGTCAGACACAGCTGGAATTTCTGGGAATTGTGAAGGCGATCACCTCATCCGCCTTTCCTTGGAGGCTTAGGCGGTAAAATCACGGACCGCAGGCCTTGGGATGGAGAGAAACCCCTTTCTGGTGACATGCAAAACATCAGATGGTCCCTTAAATCTGGGCTTGCTCTGTACGTCGGCTCCTCATTGTTATGGGAATGATTGTAGCTGCAACAATGTGACGCATGAACTGCAATGCAAACAGTAGGATGAGTCGATTAAAGAATCGTGATGTGATCTTAATCTCCCATCTCCCCTAAGGACTGTTATGATGTTATGATGATAGGCTTCTCGTTGCAGATGAGCATCTCATGGTATCTATTATCGCTAGAGGAGTTATTTAGTCTAGCATGGTATCTATAAAACAGCCACTGGGTACTTGCTACAGCACTAGGGCTGGGCTGGCCATCTGGCATAGTGAACAGGTTGTGAGCCAATGGGGTTGTAGGCTGGCAAAATGTGTTGCCCCCCCCCCCGACAAAATTCCTGGGCCGATATCTAGTCCCAGCTCAGCCCTGCTCGGCACACAAATACTAACAAACAGGCTTATTGATATAAAGCTATACCTGAAATCAGAGCTGGTCAACCCATTAAGCTCAAAAAATTAAAAAGGGGGGTGGTTTCTGGTGAATCGCTCTGCGATTTCATAAATTTCCATTTTTTGAGATACGAACAGAACATGCCAGGAAAAACTGAAAAGCAATGAGCACCTGGTACTGGTCTGCAGGGTTGGGAACCCCTGGATTAGGTGACACAGGCACCCCCACATGGGCTTCAACCAGCACTGCCCAAAATATACCTCTGAGGAGCATCGGTGAGGCATTCAGCTTCTAAAGAACCTACTGAATAGAATGTACTGAAAAACACTGCTCTCTGTATTTTTGATCGCTTGCTCGGCAGACAGCAGATTAGAAATTCTGGGCCAGATCTGAAGCTCATAAGAAGTTAGATAGACTAGGTCCTAAAACCATAGTGTTTTATAACATAGCGGTTTTATGTTGTAAAACAAATGCAATGCACTTAATGACTGTGGAAATACAGAAAAAACGGTGGAAGACGTACTATAGAAAATGGGGTGTCAAAGATTCACCACAGGGGGGCACCATCCCCCTTATAAAAGCCTTCAGATCAGGTCTTCTGTGTTTTCACATGATACAACAATAGTGAAACCTGAAGTGTGCGCTATAGTAATGCACATTTATATGCTTATATCTTCAGGTCTCTATACTTTTCAGTGGATATAATGACGGAATGGCAAAGGAGTGACTAACAGAAATGTGACATAACGGATGTAATTCCCTGAGGTAAAACAATAAAACTATATTGAACAATAAAACAGCAAAGGTCAATGTGATCACAAACCCCCAGCCCTTCTGTGCAATCCATTGATCTGCTGTTATTTGGACAAGTAAATTAGTGGGGGGGGGGCTTATAGGTTTAGATGCAGATGGCAGGTTCCAGTTCAAATCCCTGCACCCGCAGAGTAATTTCAATTTTGGGCCCCAGGCCAAGGTCCCTAACCCCCAGCTGGTCCCAGGACAGTCCAACACTGCTTCCTCAGCTGCTAATTATAAAGAATCTGATGAATAAATAAATATACAAAGCCATTCTTGAATGATTTATTTTGCCTTTCAAAATCAAATACAAATGATAAATCCAGTGATTAATGTTGATTGTCCGTCCAGTGAACTTTATGAACATAAAGCATATAAGATACAAAGCATAAACTCATATTCAGGGTGAAATACATGATTACTACCGGTAATGAGAGCTGGTTCAGTGCACAGATGCAATATTACAAGTAAGATGTTTTTTTTTGTTTTGTTTTCAAAATATTAAATTGCACTGCTTTAGAGGATAATGCAGGATTGAGAGATTTTGACAAAAAAGAGGAACAGTTGAAGATATATAAATAAGAATGGAAAGGAAAGAGATCCAGCCATCCATCCATCCATCTTCTAACCTGTTATCCAGGTCAGGGTCATGTGGGGACCTGGAGCCTATATAGTATCGGGCACATGGCTGGGCTACACTCTGGACGGGGTGCCAGTCCACCTCAGGGCACTTTACAGTATGGTGTGGGCAATTTAAAGACTCCAGTTAATTGCATGTCTTTGGTCTGTGAGAACAACAAGGAGACCATGGTCCTGCAATGGCCTTGTGTGTCTTAGGTATGGTGTGATCAGGCTTCATATGCACTGCTACCCCCCAGCAAAAAGTACAGGCCTCTGCCTGCTCATGATTCCATGTAGGATAAGCAGTATGGATCCAGAGAAGGAGAAGTGATAAATTACAAAAATAATAAAATAAATTACAAGTAAAAAAATACATAAATAACATGTGAATGAATGATGCGAGTGAATCACATGTTTATGAGGGAAATATCTTCACATTTCAGCAATGCTTCTATACAATTGTTTTCTTGCAGCATTCCACAACATTTCTATTCACGCATTCTTATTTCTTCACATTTATCGACGCGGCTGAAATCTGTATTCACAGTCAAGCATTTGTAATGGAAAATTATTACGCCACACTGTTTTGTTTGCCCAGGGTAGCCATAAGGCAACATTTTCCAGCATAATGTTTATTTTTACATGCTTAAAGTCATGGAAATGTCACGTCGATGTTTTACACTGTAAGAGATGAGACCTCTACTGCAGAAATGAATAAGGAAATACCTTTGGAAAGGAGAATGTAAAACAATTAGAATTCCTAGGAAATGTTGTTTTCCTGTTAACGTTACTGCTGAAGTAAACATTCCTAGGAAGCATATCAGCTTCAGGTTTCTTGTTTTCATTTTCAGCAACAAACAGAGATAAGCTGACATTATAACTGGTTTTACGAGTTGCAAGAGTTCAACTGAGTGTCGGCCATCTTGTAGCCTCTCTAATAAATGAGTGTCAGATGAAAACAAAACAGATATGAAAATATATATAGGCATATAGCTAAAACCAGTTTCACACTTTTTATGCTACCCGGATGGCTTTCGCACTATTTAATCCAAGTACTCAGGGACAGTGGTAATGGCAAAACTGATTCCCTCCTACCTGCCGTGATATTTGAATGGCTGCTAATTTCCCCTCCCAGCGACACTGTTACTTGACATCGCAGATAGAATCTGATGCCCCTCCCGCGCTTCACTGAGCGGCCGTCCTGACAGGAGGAATGACCAGTGGGGCAGTATTAGGCCCGTCGTCGTTAGTGTATGGACTGAAAAATGGGTAGAGGCGCTCTGTGAAAGTGTGATGGTGTGTGTACATGTGAGATTGGGCATCAACATTATAAAAGGAAATCTGCCCCTCTTCATAGTCCAGATACACCCCCAACTTCCGGGGCCTCCTGTTCAGGGGCAGGGAAAAACAACAGGTCCCACAACAACTGTACATGTTGCTGTGGCGAAGACACATCGTCCAATAGCCATCCTCGGGGTTGGCACTGATGATACCTTTCCGGTTGATTGACTCTCTGACCACTCCAATGTCCCAGGCTATCTTTTCTCCCACTTCCACCTCCCAGTAATGCCTCCCTGTGGTGAAGCTCTCTTTCGCCAGGACACAGACGGAGCTGTCGAACCTCTTAGGGTAATCCGGGAGATGTAACTGAGTGTCACCATCCCAAACCTGCTTCCCATCCACAGACAAGATGAGCCAAGGGTTTGCTGTGCTGGGGTCCAGCGTCACGTCAACTGAAGAGAGAAATGATGTTGTCGATCGACATTCAGACAAATGGCAACAATGATGAATTAATCATCATGATTCCTTGCCAAGTGACAAATACTCACCTGCATGCAGCTGCATTCTCGGGAACTCTGCCATTATAAAAAACAAAAAACATGGTTGATAAGCTATTGTCAAAACTTGTTAGCTGCTGGGTTTGACAGTCCTTAAAGATGAATTCAAAATTACCTGCCGTAGAGGAGAAATTCTCAGTTTCTCTAAATGCCCTTTTCAGTCCAGACGTGACACATCTCACTGTCCCCACACCGACATCAGCGTGGACGTTGGCCTCGGTCCAGTCCTGTGCACAAGGGGAGGTGTACAGCATAGGTAATCTCTACAGGCAGTGAGAGGAGAGATTGCATCAGAGCTTCAGGATCCTTCACATGGTGAAATTCACCACCAGGATAAAAATATTGTTACTGCAGCTATTTGGTGTGCAAGGTTTGAACTGAAATGATGTTTTTTGGCACTGGTACAGATATGAGAAAAGCTATAGTGGAATCTCAAGGTTCTGATATAGATGCAGCTACTTTGCTGAATATGGGATATAAACCAGCAACCTTCCAGTCACAGACAGAGAGGCCCAACCTACTGAGTCACACGTCTGCTCTTCTGCTACTGACTTCACATAGACGAATTTGCTGCAGACAGTAGCGTTCACTAACCTGTAGGAAGTGTATGAGGTCCTCAGTGTACCAGAGCTGCTCCAACTCAATGTTTCTCCTCTGCAGCTCCGTGATCTCCTTCTCCAACTCATTGATGAACCCCTCTGCCCTCGTCTCCTCTGCCTTCTGCTTCTCCTGCACCTTCTCGACAAACTCTATCTGGCTCCTCACAATGGAACCCACCAGGGTAGTGAAGGCTTGGATACTATCCTCGATGTCCCTCCTGGAGTTGATCTGGTGGAGGACAGGTTATGTTCAGCATGTGTCAATGACATGTGTGACTGCTGTACAGCTGTCTTTGAGAAAGCACACCTTGCTGAGCTCAACTGATTTCTGGATCTCCTCCAGCTTCTTCCATCTTTCCTGAATAAACTTTTGAATATCAGCTCTGGTCCTTTCCAGCTCCGTCTGTGGGGTGGTAAAGGAACTTATCAGGCATGACACTGACAGACTTGATTATTGATTACACACATACAAGGTTACCCATTCTTTTCAAAAGTCAGCTGATATAGAAGAGAGCTCTCATTGTCTTACTTTTCATTCAATAAATGCTCTCTCCACAGATATAGTGTCATGACCTTTGTGACTCATCTGACCACACTGCTCAGAAAAACACGTCTGGTCACATTTATAGAACATCCCCAGGTGTCTGTTGTGGTTCTAACATAAGCCGTGCTCGGGGCACTCGACCAGATCATGGCTTCAGAGGTCCGTGTCTGTCAGGTGAGGATCCAGAGATCCAACAGGACTTGCCTTGGAACAGATAGCTTGTCTTGACTCCTTGAATAATTCAGTTATTTCAGAGAAGCTATAGTTGATACTCAGTTTTGGCTTTTCGTCAAAAATCGCTTTGCACAGTGGACATCTATAGAAATCACATCTGTCCCAGTAGCCTTGCAAACAAGCCTGGCAAAAATTGTGTCCACATGGAGTGGAGACAGGGCTGGTGAAGACATCCAGACATATGCAGCACCTGAGCTGTGCTTCAAAAATAACACTGAGAGTCAGACCCATCTTGTGTACCTGAAAATTCAGAAGAAAATGGATATGTTAAACATATCATTACTGAAGCAAACAATGCAAAACATGGACTGGTTGTGGTGTTGGAATGCAGCCAGTAAACAGTTGTACCTGTCTTTAAATTTACATATGAAGGGCTCTACTGAGGTGACGCGTTGTTGTACAACGGCAAACACGCGAGTGAAACATGGCACAGGAATGAGAAATGCGTAAATAATGTAGAAGATTAAAAACAGACGCTCACGTTATTTACTATCACATCTCGATTCCTGAGTAAAAACGTCCCAAAGGCTTTTCCAGTATACAGTTGTGAGAAAAAGTTCATGAACCATCTGTTTTTATTTCTTTTAGGAATAATTCCATAAATGCAATCTAATCCACATACAAGCCATAATAATAAAGGCAGTTTTATTCAATAAACAACAGACAGAAAATGTGAAGATGCCATATGTTTGCAGAGAACCTAAAAGTCCGTCCATACATTCTACGTGCACAACCTGGTCAGGGTAGTAGAGAGACCTGGAACCTCTCCCAGAGGGACACCGTGGATGGCATGTCAGCCCATCACAGGACATATACAGTATATGCACAGTAGTATATGTGTTTGAACCCCCCCCCCATTTAAACAGCACACAATTTTGGTTAAATTAAATGGTCCAATTAAAAGAGATTTCAGACTGGAATAATGGTAGGGGTTACAAAAAGACAATCCACAGTCAGTTTCAGCTGTATCATTAATTCCACTAGGAGTGACATCCCTACAAAGATCGGTGTATGAGGACACTGTAGTAGAATCTGCAAATAAGTGACAAAGGACCTGAGGGTGACAGCTGAGGATGTTCAGGCATCTCCTGCACTTAATGCCAGTGTTCATGCATCTGGCACGAGGAAAACAATGAACAAAAGTGGTGTTCAGGTAGGTTCACTGCCACAGAGGAACCAGTGCTCACTAAAAGCATCTCTGCCCACCTCCTGCTTGCTAGAAGCACCGATGTGCTCCACAGCAGCACTGGAATGATATTCTTCAGAAAGACGAGGCAGAGGCTGAGCTTTTTGGTAAGTGAGCACAGTGTCGTGCCCCAAGAGCATCCTGTCAAGACAGCAAACACTGCAGAGCAGCGGCGGAATCTCACTGCTGTCAGACACAGTGGGGGGAGTGTAATGCAGTGAGGCTGATTTGATAAAATTTATTATCATGTCTTGGATGACATTCCAATTACATTTTAGGAGACATTTAGGCAGAAATCCAGATAAATGCAAAAGGTTCACAAACTTTTTCTCAGCGAAGCAGCTTCACAAACTCGCTAAGCACACTTTAAGGTGTTAGTGGCTTTTCATTTCAGAAAATTTAGAATTAGAATTCAGAATTCTCAATTTAGAAATTAGAAAATGTATCAATTTAGAAATTAATAAATCTCAGTAACTGTATTTTGGATATTCGTCCACTAATGAATAGGATATTAAAGGTGTGGGTGATAGCATTTTTAGCTTGTAATGCACCCTCTACCCTGACTGTCTCACCCACAAGTCCAACCTCCACCACTTACCTCAGTCACAGCTGGAGAAGGTGTTCTTCCTTCACTGAGATCCAGCAAAGAATGACATCTCCCACTGCTTCCACCCAGGTTGGGGGTCTATGTATCTCACCTGGTGGAACCTGCTTCGCTTGATTCTTCACCCGCATCTGAGATCAGCTTCCAGGGTAATCGGGATGATCTTTCTGCGTACCCATTGCTGTCTATCATTTAAAAGGAAAGAAAGTAGATCATCGCGCGCCACTGGGCTCTCCTCCTTCTTCCTCCCTCCCTCCCTCTCTCCCTCCCTCTTTCTGTAACTCACATTAACTATTTCATGGCACTCTTTACTGTTCATATCCAACTTTTCAATGCTTTTAAATTGCATTGTTTTTAAATTTTTGCTATTATAACTTTAGAGAACATATATACACACTTTCTTGAGGGAATTTATTAATCTTCTTTGTATGGCCTTTCTGCAAACTGTCCTCATTGAGGATTTATCCTCAGTCTTTATTGGGGTAAAAGCTATTACAGGTGTCCCATCTTTCTTTCTTAAGTGGATTAACTGGTTCAATATTTCCTGTGAAACTAATTAAATGCCAGTTGTTTCAATCAGTTCGTTGTGACGTACTGTGAGGTGTCACACTGGGAATTTCCCTTCTAATTATTTCTGATTGTATTTCCCGTGTCATTGAGCGATTGACTGGTTACCTGTCTTTGGATCACAATTCTGTTCTTGGTGTCTTCAGCTGTCACTGAAATGAGCTCTCTGAGATACTGGCCCCCTTCACTTTAAACACCCCCCAAAACATCCCTGACAGTCAGGTGCAAACGCCTGTCATGTGACTATATGTCATGTGCAATATTACATGCAATGTGCAATACTACCCATCATGTGTAATACTGTTGACAGGGTCAGCACCTCTTTTGTCCAAGTCTTGCATCTTCTCCCCGTTTGGCCAGCAGGTGTCGCTGGCCATCCCGTCTTCCCCGTTGTCCTAGCCTGTAGTGTTTCCCCGGCTCCCTGTCAGCCACTTTGCTCAATGAGCTGAGCATGCGGCTATCTGCTAACCCATTTGTTGTGTATTTGAATCCTGCCTCCTCTGTTATTGTATTTTGTTCCCTAGTGTTTAATTTGTATGAGTTTTGTTAGTTAGTTCCTGTGTCTTGTGATTTGTATTTGGTTTTGGTTTCATTGCCCGTGCTTGTGTTTATACCGGTCTGTAATTCCGCTAGTGTAGATTCTGTTTCCTTCTTTCTGTCAGTCTTAGTTTTCTCCTTCCAGTCCCTGAATTAATTGTTGCCTGTTCGTGTGCCTGCCCTTGTGTGTTTTCCTGATTGCTTGTTGTCCTGCACCGATTGGTTAATTGTCTATGTCTCACTCCTGCTGCCTCATTACCCAGTTCAGTTTTCGTATTTAAGTTCCTGCCTGATTTCCTGTGAAACTAATTAAATGCCAGCTGTTTCAATCCGTCTATGTATTGATTGCAGCACTTTAAATGAAGCGTATCACTTTACAATGAGGATCCCTTCTGCCACTTGTAAATAGTAGTAACTTTGTTATAACTTGTTTAAAATTGTCTATTAATAATTTGCAAAGTGTTACAACATAATTAATAACCAGATTATAAACCATTCATAAACCCTTTATATGGGTAGCCTTATAGTAAAGTGGCACTAAATAAAGATTTCTCTTCCGGTGGGCCGCAAACAGCTTCTAAGTGGGCTACGGAGCTGTGGCAGGGAAACACAGTTTGGTCGGAAATGGGTTGCTGCACCGATGCACATCTGATTGTTGCCTGGGAAAATTACAGAGGGTCTGAGTGATATAAATGCTATATTGACTTATCGTCATATAAAATTTAAATGACAAGAAAAGTGAGGCAGGCAGAGAACAAACCCAACAACTATTCATCCTGTCAGCATTTTCTTGTGTTATGCTCTATGACAAATAAAGTTTATTTTTGTTTGATTTGCTTGTTAAAATTAGCTTGCAGTTCATTGAATTTCTTACCTTTTTAAAAGTTATGAATCTGTTAATAAAAACAATTCTAAGTGAATCTTAATCAAAAATGAAGCCTCAAAGTATTAAAAAAAAAATACTTGAATTATATAGTCATAACTATCTATTTCAACTGAAGCCCCCCACCTAATTGGCGAAATTTGATGGCCGTCGACATCAAACATTATGAATTGGTGGGTTGTTGGGGGGGGGGTTTCAGCCAGTCAGCCAGTCAGCCTTAGACCACCAATGCTTCTGTTTCTTCCTCCTTGAGAGTGTTTGGTTCATCTGGGTTTCTTTCATTCATTTCTTTGCCTTCCCTATTCCCTGCTTTTGTACTATTCTGTCTTAATGATGTTGTAATGTATCCATGTAACACATCCATGTAAAGCGCCTTGGGGCGACTCTGTTGTGAAAGGCGCTATACAGTATAAAAATATATTGAATCTAATTCAGTGTAGGGGTCAGAGAGTTGCTGGTGATAATTAGTACCATTAGAATGGAAGCACTGGTTTGAGGGGCTGGTTTATCTGTTTAAAGTGCAAAAACCTTCAGTATATTAAGGGGGACAAAATGGCCCAACCCTAGACAGGCCAGATGGGCTTGTGTTCTTTACCCAGCTTCAGTTTGCAGTCACCTACCATCCAAAAATTTGAAGGTCGACGCTCTGTCACGACACTTTGAAGCTTCTGAGAAGGACCCAAGCCCAGACACCATTACATCCTGTATCATGGTGGATATATGATGGGAGATTATGAGAGAGATAGGGGCACAATCCAGTCCTCAGGATACACCCCCAAATAAACTGTTTGGTCCAGCCTGGATCTGCCCTTTCCTGCTACGGTGGTTTCATACATCTGTCTGATAAGGTCACCTAGGTGTCACCAGGACCTATGAATCGCAGACATGCTGGTGGATGATGTTTGTGACTCAGTTTTGTCCTGCCCCATGTGCCCAGCCAAAGACTCCAAGGCAATTACCATTGGGAAAGGTGGAAACTCCACCAATTCCCCACTGACCCAGCTGCTATATAGCACTGGACTTCCTCCCTCAAAAGAACATATGGTCTTATTGGTTTTAGTAGACTGATTTTTTAAGATGTGCTGCCTTATCCTTTTTCTGCCCCCCACCCACGCAATTCAGCTGGCAGAATGCCTCTTTAATTGAGTTGTCTATTTCTTTGGCTTTCCAGAGTATATAGTGTAAGATCAAGGTTCACCTTCATAAAGAAAATCCTCTTCCTGTCTGGTGCCCGACTCCAGGTTCCAGGAGCCAACCTGGGTCTTCTGTACAACCTCCTGCTCTGCCCTAATCACCGCCCTCTTGTGAAGTGGATTCACCTGTAGGCTATTTCCTGTGAGACTAGTTAATGGTATAGTTTCTTCATTGTGATATTGTGAGATGAAGCATACTGACCAGTTCCCTTCTGCATAACTATGACGATGATGAATTACGTAGTGATGTTGTTTATAACCAAAGCTCTATAGCAGGGGTTGGCAACCCTAGGCACGCGTGCCACAACTGGCACGCGGAGGAATTTCAGGTGGCACGCTGACGATGATCACAATAGAGACCTGCACTCCCGCGGGAGTACCGAGTGCCAACGCACCGAGTGCGGCGCGGGACAAGATTTGATGGGTGAATGCGGGTGTGGGCGGTAAGGTCCTCATGTATGTGCGGGTTGCGGGAGAATAGAATTAATCACATGATCAATGACACAGAGACTTCCAATTGAGTCATCTTGAGTTCCGGATTGTCGATACTAGAATGTGAAAAGAGTTGGGAAAGTTTTTGGTTGGAGAGGTCATAAAGATGATACGATAAGATAAGATGAGAGAAAACTTTATTGATCAATACTTTGTTCTTCTTTTTTGTTGCCCTTCCTTGACTTCACCAGTAGTGTACATTGTGCAAAATGAGACTTTGGGTTGGAAAGCCTCGGTGCTTCAGAGAGCCTCATTTGTCCATTACTTCACACTGTTTTTGGTGAAATAAAATCATGGATTGCTCCGCAAATGGACCTCTGCCTCGTTTATATTAATGCTGCGTGTAACAAATCGATTTTAACTGTGAAAATTTAAGAAGTCTCAAAAACTGCAAATCAGCCAATACAACACACAAAACATGCTGAGATTCACTTCATTGACTTGAATATTGAAATGAATCAGCTTGAAGTCTCTGGGAAGCGAGGCCTCGTTTGTCATTGATCACGTGATGTTCTGGTGTGACGCTGTCTTGGGAGTCACTCTTTCTAGTGTCAGGTACTTACTGAAGTCAGACGCCCTCTGGTGGCGACTGAGGCATACAAAAAATCACTAAGAAAACATTTGAATAATTAAAAAGAATCTCAAATACATTTCACCAGCGTAGTTTGCCATAATTGTATTATTCCACTCAATGCGAAACGAATTTATTGGGTCTATTATTGTTTATTAGATATTTTATATTCTTGTGTTACAAACTATAAATCTATTTCATTACGTATTATATTTACCCACACAAGTTAACTTACACGACTTCGAACCAGCAAATTTTAAAATTAGCGCAATCTCTTGATTTACTGTCTTCGATTAATCAACACCTCGTATCAGTTGTAATTGTCCATTTCTGAGAAGTTTTGCAGCTGGAGTCTGGAATGGGTGTATGATAAGGCACCTGCACATACGCATGGGGTAACAATCAAAGCCAAAATGCATGAACTGTACCTGAGGAAAACCCATAAAACATGGAAACAGTCCTAAAAACTCTCCCAGTACAGAACTGGCGCAAACCCAGATGAAAATTGTATAGGCTGACCAAGAATTACTAAGACTATTAATACCCAAAAGTTAGTAGTATATATTTAGTTCAAGATTTACATGATCGATTGTTATGTTATCTCAAAAAAGGGACACAGATGTTTAAAAGAATGTTTCCATTCTTCGTTTTGATGTACTTCCTTAACTGACCAGTAGATGGGAGGCTTCTCACAGACAAGGCAGACTCTCCTTCAGCTGCTGTATACATAGTAACGGTTTTGCAAACTTTTCTTTCTCAGGACAGAGTTGCGAGTAGCCAGGGGGCTCATCCCAGGCAGTGGATGGCATAAGGACGCTGGTTACCCAAAATGGGATGCCAATTCATTGTAGGGCACACACACACACACACACACACACACACACACGTTGGCGTACCTATCTAAATGGGGACCTTCCATTCATTTCTATGGGAAAAAC